AAAGGGGAGTTCAGGAAGATGTCAAGGGAGCAAGGAGGACGGTGTGAACTGGTCAGACTCTGGATCTGTTCTGAAGGTAGGGCTGGGAGGGGTCATAGCAGAGTGACATATGACGTGAGAAAAGGAATTCAAAGTCCAGACTAAGGTTCTGGCTGAGAACAGAAGGATGGTGTGACCACTGACAGAGCGGGTCAAGAGGAGCAGAACACGGCCATGCAAAGTGGACAGGCAGACATTAAACTTGAAGGACCCAGAACAAGAGTTCAGAGTTGTTAAATTTGCAAGAAGTTGTCAACCTGTAGATGATATTTAAAGTCACGTGACAGGATGAGGTCAGTGAGGGAATGAGCATAGAGAGAAAGGAGAAGAGGCTACGGGCAGTGAGATGTGGCTAAGGAGCCTCCTGTGAGAGAGCCATGAAGAGACCCCGGGCATGTTCTAGAGAGCCAAGGGAAGGAACTCGGGGGACCAGGGAGTAATGAACTGTGAGCCCTATTGATAACACAAGATGATCCATGAAGAGATGTTCAGATTCTAAAATGTGGCGGCCTTAATGGGGGTACGGGGAGAATGGACTCATGGAATGGGCTCAGAGGAACTGCACACTAGGGGTGTAGCCAATATTTTAGAGATAGGACTGAGTCAAATGGGAGCAGAGATGGGCCAGCAGTGGGAGGGGATGCCAAGGTTAGAAGAAGGTGGTGTGCCCCCCACATTGCTATTGTCTTAATGATAGATGGGAGAAAATCTGCCATTTTATGCTAATAAGACATTTTCTGGAGAAGAAAAAATTATTGATGATTCTGTCAAAAGGGAGTTGGAACAGCACCCTTGAGTTGTAGGGAGGGACAGGATCCTGAGGGGTCTGTCTTAGCCACAGAGGCGGAGAGATAGAGGCGGGGTGTTGTACAGACAGTCCCTTTGAACTCTATCTGGTAGCAAAGAATGTGGGTGATGGGGATCAAACTCAGCATTCCTAACGAGGGCCCATGTGGGACATCCAGCCTCCCAAGAATCTGCTGTCTTTTGGTATCACAGCCTTTCTCCCCATGCCTCTGCCTGCCCTCCTGCCTTAGATTCCCATGTCTGTGTACATCCCCTGTACTTAGACCCAAGCTGGGAACCACTAGGAATAGCAATTCTCCTTCATGTCTTTTTCTTCTGTGGCCTCTCTGTCAATTCGTGTTTACAGCAGGCTCTGGGTGTGGGGCAGATTTTCTTGTCCCAGCCAACACTTCCAACCAGAACTTCCAGTTTATGCTTGACAAAGAATCCTATTTTGAAGCCAAGCTAGGGTGGGGCCTCCTCTGGAAACCTTGGGGCTGCCTCCATCTCCAGCTTTGGTTCTTTAACATGTTCACTGAGACCCATGGTCCCCTCCAAGCATCCTTTAAAACACCTTTAGATATTAGGTCACTTAACTCTTTTCTATGAGGTAAGTGCTGTGGATGGGGGCCATGTTACAAATGGGGATACTGAGGCACAGAACAACTGTCACACCTGAGCTCAGGCTATCTATGTTCTGGTGTCAGATTCTGAGCCACCAGGAACATGGACTCTTCTGTTTTTTTTTTTGTTTTTTTTTTTTGTTTTTTTTTCCTCCAGCGAGGCTGCCAACGCATGGGAAGACGAGGAGCTGTGTGAAGGTCCACTGGACTCGGTCCAGGGTGAATATCGGCCATGGACTCCTTGTTGCCTTATTAATGAAGTGAGGGGGTGGAAGGCACCCAACCCTTGGTAGGTCCATGACCTCACTTCAACATAGGTAGGCTACCTGAGTCCTGGCCAATCATAACCTTGAACATCAACATTGACCTGGCAATCACCCCTCAACAAATGCCAACACCAGCCACCCCCACTCCTGGCTCCAACCCCTCCCAAGTGAGAAAGCTTTACTGGAAGCTTGAGCCTGGGCCACAAGAGGGCACAGGTACCCCGACTTCCCACACAAGTTGTCACCTCATTTCACCTAGCATCCTCCCTCCTGCCACCCCACCTGAACCCGACTCTACCGGAAAGGAATGGGCTCAGCACCCACTCCAAGCCCTGCCCGGGGAGGTGGAGGAAGTCCAGGGTGGGGAGGGACACTGGCCTTTCAGTCACCTTAACAGGAACTCACAGATACGACCCAGCCCCCCTACCAAGACCAACCCCAACACAGATGCTCAGCCTGTGTCTAGTTCCCACCATTGGTGCTCACCCACAATCCCAACTGTCTCAACATCCTTCCATCCTCCATCCTGCCCTCCGACACCGTCACCCCATCAGCACCCTTATCTCTGTACCCCTCCCATTGCAACCCAACCCTACCCCCAAGCATAACTTGGTATCACACTGCCCTTCCTCCCAACCCCATTGCACATCGCACTTCCTGTGAGCTCATCAGAATCACCAGAACCCTAAACACGGTCCCCTCCATTCCGGCATTAAACCAAACTTCTCTTCCTAGTGAAGGACTCTGAGATAACAGAGATTCTTCAATGGCAAGTTAGATAGATTATCCGATTTTAGAACATCTCTGCATTTGTGTTACTGTCTTTGAAATGCTTTTTTACCACATTGAGCAGTGCTAGGGCTTGAACATGGAGCCTCCCCATGCTAGACAGGAGCTCTACCATTGAGCTAAGCCCTCAGCCCCTCACTGGGGGATTCTAGGCAAGGGCTCTACCACCGAGCCACACCCCAGCCCCTCACTGGGGGGTTCTAAGCAAGGCTCTTTGCGTTATCTGGCTAAGTCGTGCAGGCTGGCCTTGAACTCACTGTGCAGAGCAGGCTGACCTTGAAGTTTCCATTCTCCTGCCTCAGCCTCTCCAGGTGTTGAGGAGGACAGAACTGTGCAGTGAGGCCCTGTGATACCCAGTGCTACTTTGTAACTTTAAATGGCAGGTATCTGATAGCAATGCAAACATTCTTCTCAAAACCCACAGAAATGAAATTTGCCAGTGAAGCTTCCCTCAGGACAACCGTGCTGGGCAAAGCTTCCCTCAGGACAAACGTGCTGAGCAAAGCTACCCTCGGGACAACCGTGCTGGGCAAAGCGTTGCTTTAGTACACATTAGCTTTCCTTACTGCCTCTGTACTGTGGGCTTTTTCCTCTCTTTTTAAAAGTGCACACCGACCTTAAACTCATCTTGTGGCAGAGGATGAGCCTGAACTCCTGGGCCTCCTGCCCCTGCCTCTCTAATGCTGGCCCACAGGCTTGTACCCCTACACAGGGACGGATGTACCAGGCGTCATGCATGCCAGACAAGCACTTCACCAACTGAACTGCAGTGGGTGGGGAGGCTGCAACACTTTATTTTTAAAAGGAACCAAACCTTCGGTGCAGTCTGAACTCCCTTGGTTTGGACTACATCATTCCCAAATCCTGCGCCCCGCCACAGCCCACCTTCCGCCCTGTGAACCTTCGCCCGACCAGCCTATATCTTAATGAAGTCACCTCTTCTAGCTCCCTCTTTCCAAACTTCACTGGATCCCCATCCTTGGCTTGTTTTCAAATTCTGACCCCACCCCTGTCCTTCTTAATCCCTAATCCTGCCCCATCCACCTTTTGGGATTAACTCATGGGGCCCCACCCTGCCAAAGTTCCAGAAGCCACCTACTCATTCCTTAAACACCATCCCTTCCTCCTTCCTCTTCCTCCTCCCTATCTCGTCCCAGCTTGCCCCCCCCCCCCGCGCCAGCCCTGTTCCTCTCCACCCACCCTGCCATGCACTCCCTCACCTCATCAATTGCTTCTCAAAGGCAGCCTAGTTCCAGCACTTTCCCAGGCTCAGCCTCTGCCCCGCACAGGCTCAGGGCACTAGATACTCTGTTAGCCGGGCATCTATACGGTGTGTGTCTTGGGAAGAGGGTGATGAACATATGTGGTCATCACCTTGAATTTCGGAAGGAAGAAGGCTGGAGGTGAGACTCCCACTGACTGTGCTAGCGTTGTTGTTAAGAGACAAGCTTGGGTTGCCGCTGGTGAAGGGACTGGCCTTCAGGGACAGGCTGGGGGTGATCCCTATGGTAAAGGTGGGATTTCAAGAGAGCTGGGAGATGCCGGTCTGGGACCTGAGGCGGACTGAAAGGTGCACGCGGAGGTGAGGAAAGCAGGGAGGTGCTGCATGACGAGGGGTAGGGAGGGGAGGAGTTTGAGAAGGAAAGTGGGCTTTCCCCTTTTCTGTGGTCCTGCCATAAGAAGGTTCACAGTGGGTTCAACTCAGGCTTGGGCGGGGACAGATCTGGGTCCCAGCTTGTTCCAAAAGCTCCGCCTCCAAGCCGAGGGCCGAGCCCAGGCTGGGGGGTGCCTGTCAACAGCAAGCTGAGCCATTGGGGGTGGAGAGGGGGAGCCAGCACCGGGAAATGGTGCGCGCGCTGGGGGAGGGAGCTCAGGGGTTAAAAGCCATGGGTTGGAGCTGAAGTTTCTAGACAGCTGGCTCTTGAAGTTGGCCACCTGGGCCCCTCCTCAGGTAGGGTCTCTGGGAGGGAGAGGGGCAGAGGCCTGGGGAAGGGGCATTGCAGGGGGACAAGAGGAGAAAAGAGGAGGGACGGAAAGTGGGATACAGGGCAGCTGAGTCAGCGTGAGGCGCAGGTGGAGACAGAAACCTGCAGAGATGCAGGGAGTCTAAGCATGCAGAAAGACTAGACGCCAGGGAGGAGACCCAGGGTCCGGGACAGGCCCAGAGAGGGGAGAATGGGGTCAGAGAGGGGGAAAGGAGTGATGAGCGAGGCAATGCTGTCTGGACCCAGCTCTTAGAGTGCAGGTTAGGAAGTGATGGCAGGCGCTGGAGCTCAGAGGAGTGCAGGCTGTCCCTCCACCAGCTCAAGGGGTGTCCCCCACACACTGAGGGTGGAATTACAGAAGGGCAAGATTCGAGGGCCAGGGATTTCAGAAAGAATAGAGCCGTAAAGTTCAAAATTGCAAAGCGCAGAGAATTTCAGTCTCCGGCTTTGCAATACCCACTTCAGCCTCTCGACCCAGGCCCCGCCCACCCTGCCCACCCCAGTCCCGGAGCTATCATGTGGCCCCTAGTGGCTGCCTTCGTTTGCCTGACCGTGGCCTTGTCCGGAGGTGAGTACTCAGGCACAAGGGTGGATGGAGACAGGGAGGTCATTCATGCCAATGGTAGGAAGGGTCAAGCCACTGGGAAGAGGGGACTTGCGGGCTCCGCCCCCCACCCCGCCCACTCAAGGGCAGGGAGGACACACTGAGAGCTTCCTGCTAGTCCCTGTGTGACCTCATTTCCCAACTAGGGTCAGCCCACCAACACCTCTGACTCCAGAGATGCCCCATCTCAGAGAGGCTCCCAAGTCTCCCGACTCCCTCGACTTTTTGCACTACCCCCACCACCACCATTGCCTCCTCCTCCACCACCACCTCCTCTACCTCCACCTCTGCCACCTTCACCTCTACCACCACCACCTCCACCTTCATCTTCGTCTCCTCCACCTCTACCTCCACCTCCAACACCACCACACATTTTCAAGACAGACTGAAGAGCAGGAAGCTCAGCAGGCCACGGGTTCAAATGTTAACAATGCTACTTTGAGCAAAACTTGAGCCAACGATTGTTTTCTTCTGCAACATCAATTGCTAGGGCTAAGAAAAGGAGGGGTGTTCCTGGTGTGATTTTAAAAAGGGCTCTGAAAATAGTGAAATTTTATTATTTTTTTTTAATTCATGTCTGTACTAGGAGGGTGCTGGATACCCTGGAGTGACGGAGGTTGTGAGCTGTCATGTGGGTGCTGGGACTTGAACCCAGGTCCTCTGGAAGAGAAGACAGTGTTCTTAACCACTGGGCCATCTCCCCAGCTCCTTATTTTGCATTTTAGTGGCTTTGTATTTTGCTTTTTGAGACAGTGTCTCTGTCTCCTACAGACCAGGCTGGTCTCAAATGCACTATGTAGCTGAGGATGGCCTTGAACTCCTAATCCTCCTGCCTATAGCTTCCCAGCATTAGGGATGACAAGTGTGTGCCACCAGGCTTTGTTTATGGGGTGTCAGGAATGGAACTCAGGGCTGTGTGTGTACTAGGCACACACCAACTGAGCTCCAAACCTAGCCCCTTTCTCTGCCTTCGCAAACACACTCTCTAGAAACCCTGTGTATGCATGTATCATTCATTCACTCAATCATTCATTCTACCAGGAACCAGCACCAGGCATGGCATGCATGCTGCCTGTGGCATCCACAGCATATCTGGGGGAGCTGTGCAGACATTATCAAAACAATTATTCAAATAATTAGTTAATAATTAATTGCCACTCTGAGGTGAGCCACTATCAGGAGCCTAGATATGTAACGGGGGCTTCCAGAGCCCCCTCCCCTGGGCTTTGTTCTGACTTAAGGGAGGAGGGTCACAGTACCTAGCACCCTGCACCAGCCTTCCCCTGGAGGTGGGGTGGCTGCTCGGCTTTGGTGTCACACCCAGGATTCACACCCTTGCCCCTCCTGGTGTCTCGCCCTGGGCCAGGAGCCCCACATGCTGCATCTTGTGGAACCCTCCGGAGCCCAGTGAGGTATGTGCGCTGCAATTACTCCCAGGACTCAGGGACAGAAGAATCCTGCCCCAAAGACACTGCCACACCTGAGCCAGGACACTAATCCAGGCTATCTACCCGGTCCACCATGCCCTGCTCTGGAAGTCCATTGGACTGTCGGCATCACTTCTGACCTAAAATGCAGATGCTTTGCTTCATTTTCCTGTTTTTTTCCATTTACTTTATCTGTTTTATTGATTGTGTGTGTGTGTGTGTGTGTGTGTGTGTGTGTGTGCGTGTGTGTGTGTGGTGTGTTCGCACCTGTGCACACATTGAGAAGTAAAGTTTATTGGCTGGAGATACAGCTTAGGTAGGGTAGAGTGCTTTTCTGGCGTATTTGAGGCCTTAGGACCAATCCTGAGAGCTGCAGAAGGTTAGAGCCTTAGTGCACTATAGTCTGCTTATATTTACCAATCATAGGGCCCCATGAGAACTCAGGAAGTCTGTGCCGCTGACCTACATTTCCAGCCTTCTTTTTACTTCTTATTTTGAGATAGAGTCTCACTAAGTTCCTCAGGCCAGCTTGAACTTCTGTACTCTGGGCAGGCCTTTAAATTTGCAGACTCCCTGTTAGTCTCCCGGGGATAAGAGCTAACAGGCCTGCGCCACCAAGCATGGCTTAATTGGCCCTTTTTGTCTCCTGTAAAAATAGCTGCTAAAGATGGTGGGCCCTCCAAAATTGAGGTGCTGAACGAGGCTTTGCTCCCTCTTGGTGCTAAGAGGGAAGAGATGAGAGTGAGGGTTTCTTTCTGACCAGCCCCCCATGAGTCTTCTACGTGGACACATTCAGAGTCGAAAGAAAATGGGGCCATAACTCAGCTTCTGAGTGTGCCGTTTATTTCTCCACCTTCTCATTTTTGAGACGGGGTCTCAACCCAGGCTGTGTAGCCAAGGATGACTTGAACTTCTTATCCCCCTGTCTCTACCTCTTAATGTCACCCTCGTCTCATTTTTGGTCCCACCTAAAGTGACCCTGTATTCCTGCCCTTAACTCTTAACTCCCAGCATAGGCGGGTGGGGCAGTGGGCTATGGGACAAGGGGACTCCTTGCAGCAAGATGTTCGGCTGGAGGTTCGATGGCTCCCACAGCTTCCTGATGTGTGATGACTCCCACCGCCAGTTATCTGTATCCACAGCTTCCCTATCTGAGGATGCAACCAACAATGCAGCAAAAAATAGGAAGAAAAAAAAGCCTATTCTTTTTCAGTACTGAGCTCATTCCAGCTTTCCCACTATGGGAAATAAGGTGTGGTCATTGTTTACACAGTGTTTAGCTTTTATTGGCTATTATAAATCATCAGGAGTGATTTAATGGGATGGAATGATGAGCAGAGTTTATATGTGAACATCATGATGCTTTGTGTGAAGGATTTGAACATTCCTGGGTTGTAATGTCTGTAGGGCCCTAGAACCAGTTCGCCACAGGTACAAAGGAATGACTGTGTTCTTCTCACCCGAGAGGGACGGAAGCTGAGGCTGGTCATTTGCAGGATTCTGCAGAGTAAGAAAGCAGGGCACTGGAATCTAGATGTGACCTGCTGACCATAGCTGTGCCTCCATTGTTGTCACATACACTAGATCTGAGGACTAAGACTATTAACAGAGTGATTCAGATGTCAGCTCTCTGTGAAGTTGTCTGTAAGGATAAAGGGAGAGAGAGGAAAAAACGATAGGAGAAAAGAGAGAAAGGGAAGGAGGTGGAGAGAGAGACAGACAGAGATACCGAGAGATAGAGAAAAAGAGTAAGAATAGAAAGAGGAAAGTGTGTGTGTGAATAGACAAGATGGAGATGGAATCACCAACAAGCCTGAAGAGATGGACAGCTATAGCTGTGATGAGCATCCTTAGAGAAACATGACATGCCTGAGGTCCAGGAGGGGAACCCTTAGACTGGAGGCCCCAGAAGGCTTTGCTAAAGAACTAATATACAGACTTAGATATCACAGGGAAGTTGGACTCTGTCATGTGCCTCTGTGTGCTCCATCGACCAGCCCAAACATATTCTGTCTGAACCACATACTATGTCTGATCATGTGGATAAATGAATATCTGAAATGTGTCTGGCATCCCCAAGGAACTGAGATTTGGGTTTTATTTTAATTGACTTCAAGACCTACATGTGGCTGTGATTGACATAATGAAACATGTGGGTCTGTGATTGACGTAAGGAAGAAGTACTCAGAAGGAGGAAACAACAGGTACAGAGAGAGGCTCCTGTGTGTTGGGAGAACAGGTGTATGAGGCCAGAGCTGAGTATCCCAAGAGGAGAGAGGTGGGGATTCAGACAAACAGGCTTCCAAGTGACACAGTGTGTGTGTGTGTGTGTGTGTGTGTGTGTGTGTGTGTAGGCCAGAGGTCAACATCATTCTCTACCTTATTTTCTGAGACAATCTCTCCAACTGAATCTAGAGCTCTCCGGTTCAGCTGGACCAGCTACCTGTAAACTCCAGAGATCCTCCTGTCTTTGCTCCTCCAGCTCTCAGATTACAGACAACCTGCTGTTCCCCACCCCAAGATGGTGTCAGGGCATTGATAAAAACTGGATATCAGGGAGCTGGAGAGATGGCTGCTCTTGCAGAGGATCGGGTTTGGTTCCCGAACCCACATGGTAACTCACAACCATCTGTCACTCCGTTTCCAGGGAATCTGACATCCTCTTCTAACACCTTGAGCACTAGGCATGCACATGGTGAATACCTGCATGCAGGCAAAGCATTCACACCCATAAAATAAACAAATATTAAACATTTTAAACTGGATATTTAGGAGATAAACAGGACTGTTGTGAATAATGAAGGGATTAAGGGAAGCGAGGGTTGATGCCCAGGTTTGGGCTGAGCATCAAGATGAGAAGGACTGGAAGGAACAGTTTGGGTGAGAAAGATCAGTTTCCAGACACAAACCTTAAGATGTGTATTAGGTATTTGTGTTGATAGCATTTGAGCTTCCAGCTACAAAGATTGGGGTTGGTGATGATAATTTTGGCATGACTACTTGTAGGTGGTCTGTAGAACTGGAAAAGCATCCAGTAAATGTGTTGTTAAAAGGATGGATGGATGGATTAGTAGTGGATTAATGGATACACGGGTAAGGTATGGATTGAAGCATGGATAGGTGGATGAATGGACTGGTTGTTGGGAGGATGAATAGATGAGCAGGTTGGTTGTTGAATGGATGGATAGAGGGGTAGGGTAGATGGATGTATAGATGTATATAAGTGTGGATATATGGATGGACACATAGAAATGGGTGTGTAATTGGATAAATGGATATATAAATGGATGAGTAGGTGAGTGGACATGTAAATCAATGGGGTTGTGGGTAGGTAGATTAGTGGGGTAGGTGGATGGGAGGATAGATGATGATGTATGTATGTATGTATGTATGTATGTATGTATGTATGTGTGTATGTGTGTGTGTATGGGTGGGTAGATGTGTAAATGGATGGAAGGGTAGATGAGTAGAAGATGGATAGATGGATGGATTGATTGATGGTAGGTGGACTGACAAATGAATGGATGAGTGGATGGGCATGTTGATGGATATGTAGATGGTTGGGTAGGTAGATTAGTGGATATATGGGAAGGTAGATGTATGAATGGCTGGGTGGATTGATTGATGGATGGTTTGATAGTTGGAAGAATGGGTGAGTGAATGGATGGATAGGTAAATAGGTAGATGGATTGATGGGTGAATGAACTAATGAACAAGTGGATAGATGATGCCTAGGGAGATACATAAGTCAATTCTTTCTTCTTAAGAAAATGTAGATGTAGAGAAAGTGGACCTCTGCCTACTTCTTGGCCACCTTCTTGTTCCCTAGTGCCCTCTCCATGCCGTTAGACAGCGCAGCTCTTCTCCAGCACAGCTGAAACTTCTGCCTGACTTATCCCCTTATGGAATAAGGCAACTTAGAGGATAGCAAGTGAATCCTCAGTTCTTGATGACCCAAAACAATAATCTGACCCTTTCCCCAAGTCCAGAACCACAGCACTGGCCCTTTCTTCTTCCTTTGCCCTATTCTCTAAGTTTTTTGTCTTTGACAGGAATCTCCCGGGACTACCCCAAGATTCTCAATGGTACCAATGGAACCAATGGTTTTCTCCCTGGTGGCTACACCTGCCTCCCCCACTCTCAGCCGTGGCAGGCAGCTCTACTGATCCATGGACGGCTTCTCTGTGGAGGTGTTCTGGTTCACCCCAAATGGATACTCACAGCAGCTCACTGCAGAAAAGAGTATGTGGGGCCTTGAGTGCAGGATGGGAAGAGGCTGGGACTGGGGTGGGGACAGAGATGGGCTCATGTGTCTCTTTCCCACCACTTCCTGCACCCACAGTGGGTACACAGTTCACCTAGGCAAGCATGCCCTGGGGCGTGTGGAGAACGGCGAGCAGGCAATGGAGGTGGTCCGCTCTATCCCCCATCCTGAATACCAGGTCAGCCCCACCCACTTGAACCATGACCATGATATCATGCTTCTGGAGCTGAAGTCTCCAGTCCAGCTCAGCAGCCACATCCGTGCTCTGCCACTCTCCCCGGACGACTGCCTGCCCACTGGCACCTGCTGTCGCGTTTCTGGCTGGGGTACCACCACCAGTCCCCAGGGTAAGTGCCTGCATGGCTGCTGGAGTTCTCGCAGATGGCGGGGGAAACTGAGGCAGCAATAAGCAGGGGGAGTCGGAGGATTCCTTTTATTATATTTGTATTGCTTTGGGGTGTGTGCTGGAGGTAAGGCTCTTATACCAAAGCCATCAAAGGGACATCAGAGAACAAACTGTGGGATTCCCATAATTGGGCTCTGGGATCATATTCAGGTCCTCAGGTTTGACTGCGTGCACTTTTACCCAATGAACCACTTTTCCAGTCCCTTTATAAAAATAAGTCTATATAAATGAAGGCATGTATCTCCTTAATATTAATATTACAAATGTATGAATATGCATATATATATAGTGCGTGTGTGTGTTTGGTTTTTAAGACAAAGTCTTACTATGTAACCCTGACAGGCCTAGAACTCAAAGAGATTCACCTGGATCTGCCTCCCAAGTACTGGGAGTCAGTCCTCTCCTTCTACCATGTGGGGGTTGAATTCAGGTGGTGGCAAGCACCCTTACTCACTGAGTCCTCTGGCCAGCCCTGTTTTACTTTTTTAAAAAGAATTTTTGAGGCAGAACTCTCTGTGTAGCCCAGGCTGACTTCTCTGTAGCTTAGGCTGACCCTGAACTTGTGTCCTCCCGACACACACACACACACACACACACATATATATATATATATATACACACACACACACACACACACAATTTATTTCATTTTTAATTCTGTGAGTATGTCTGTGTGGGTTTGTGCATATGAGCGCAGTGCCCACAAAGGCCAGAAGAGGGCACAGGGTTCCTCTAGAGCTGCCTGACTTGGGAGCTGAGAATCAAACTCTGGTCCCCTGGAAGAGCAGCAAGTGCTCTTAATCTCGGAGCCATCTCTCCAGACTCAAAAAATAATTATATAAAATCTGGGCCTGGTGACACCGACCTGTGATGCCAGTCACTTAGGGAGCTGTGTCGGGAGGACACAAGTTCAGGGTCAGCCTAAGCTACAGAGAAGTCAGCCTGGGCTACACAGAGAGTTCTGCCTCAAAAATTCTTTTTAAAAAAGTAAAACAGGGCTGGCCAGAGGACTCAGTGAGTAAGGGTGCTTGCCACCACCTGAATTCAACCCCCACATGGTAGAAGGAGAGGACTGACTCCCAAAAGTTGTTCCCTGACTCCTCACGCCTATTTTAGCATACACACACAGGCACACAACATTTTTTAAAAGATAAAATTAAATTAAAAGGGCTGGAGTGTGGCGTAGCTGTAGAGAGTGTGTCTTGCATCAGTCCCGAGCCCTGAAAATTAAATGTTAGGTGATAGTGTTTGCTCTGTAATATCTCATACTTTATTATATACATTAAGAAATATATATTTGTAATTTATAATACATTAGATAAGTATATCTCATGGAGGTGGGTGAACTATAAAAAGTGTATCTTTAGGTATTTTTATACACGTGACAAACATACAGCATAACATGTCAGCAGGCGTCTCCACAGCAATCCTTGGCTCTCTCCCTTCTCTTTTCTGCCTCTCTCTCCCGCTCAGAATCCCTCCCCCAGCACCTGGTTTCTCACTTCCCACCACTCCTTGCTTCCTACCCACCTTGGGTTCTTTTTCCCCCTTTTCCATTTTCACATGCATGTGGTGTGCATGTGTGTATGTGCATTTGCTTGTGTGGGGGCACACATGTGTGTGAGTGCATGTGGAGTCTCGAGGTTGATGCTGGGAACCATCCTTGATCATTCTTCCACTGTATTCATTGAGGCGGGGTCTCTCCGTCAAACCCCAAGCCTACCATCATGACTGGCCTTGCTAACCAATTTGCTTTGGGGGATCCCCTGACTCTCCTAAAGCTGAAATTACAAGCAGGCCATCATGCCCACTCCCAACATTTACATAAGTTCTAAGGATCTAAACTCATGTTTGCATGGAAAGTACTGGGATACCTCCCCGGTGCCCTCCCTTCAGGCCTGCTATCTCTCCCCATCCCTGTCACCCTGCCCCAGCCATCCAATCCTCCCCTCCTTTTATCCTCATTTTCCCCCATTTTTGTCTATATTTTTGTCTCTTTACTACTTCCTGCCTCATCCTTCCCTTCATCTTACTTATCCCATCTCAATTTCCTGCCCACTCTGACTCTTTAACATCCAGGACAAGCCTCCTCAGATGGTCTCTCTCCTCCCCAGTGAATTACCCTAAAACCCTGCAGTGTGCCAACATTGAGCTGCGCTCAGACGAGGAGTGCCGACAGGTGTATCCCGGAAAGATCACGGCCAACATGCTTTGTGCTGGTACCAAAGAAGGCGGGAAGGACTCTTGTGAGGTGAGATGCGGAGAATGTTGGAAGCATGCAGTCCATCCTTCCATCTCCCTGACATTCCATCCCTCTGATTCTCCATCTCCCCGATTCTCCATCTCCCCGGTTCTCCATCCCTCTGATCTCCATTCCTCTGATTCTCCTGCTCTATGATCTCCATCCCTCTGACTCTCCATCCCTCTGATTCTCCACCTTGATGATTCTCCATCTTCCTAATTCTCCATCTCCCTGACTTTTCACATCTGTCTCTCTCCACCTTTCACTCTTCTCCCCACATGTCCTCTATCTCTACCTTCTATTCAGATGTATCAAGAGCCCTTCTTTCTCTTCCCCCACCCAGGGTGATTCAGGGGGCCCACTGGTTTGCAACGGCAAACTCTATGGCATCATCTCATGGGGAGATTTTCCATGTGGGCAGCCCAACCGACCTGGTGTCTACACACGAGTCTCAAAATATCTGCGTTGGATCTGGGAGACAATCAGAAACACTCCAAAGCAGAAACAGACAAGGGGCAGACAATAAAACTGGGTTAATTTGCCTGCCTCCCTCCCCTACTGTGCCTATCTCACTGTGTGCTCCTCCCTTCTCTGTCCCCTGTGCCCTAAGTGTCCCTTCGGAACCATGCACTCACATTCGCTGCCAGCCACACCCCCTCTACTAGCCTTGAAATGCTTCAATAGCTAGAGTACCCCAACCCAAATGCCAGCCAAGTCCACAGCTACATCATCACGGCTACCATAAACTGAAGTTGATGCCTGCACATCCCAACTCTGTTTATCCTCTTCAGGCCCCTCATGAACTCATCTCAGTAGCGTTCGTAGATAGACCTTCCCTGACAGCTTCTTGGAACCCTCAAAATATTTACCCCCTGACAACACTGTATGTTTTATATTCGAGAAGGTTCTAGATTCCTTGCATTCTGAAAGTCTCTCTTGTCCAGAATCCTCTGCCCTGACCACATCCTATACTCTTCAAGATGACTCATCACAGCTACTCTAGACCCTCTTCATAACTCATTCCTGCTCTGACATCCCCACGCAAACTACATTCCACATTCTGTTCCTGCTCTGACATCCTGACACAAGCTACATCCCACAGTCTATTCCTGCTCTGACATCCCCACGCAAACTACATCCCACATTCTATTCCTGCTCTGATATCCCGACGCAAACTACATCCACATTCTATTCCTGCTCTGACATCCCGACACAAGCTACATACACATTCTATTCCTGCTCTGATATCCCGACGCAAACTACATCCACATTCTATTCCTGCTCTGACATCCCCACGCAAACTACATCCCACATTCTATTCCTGCTCTGATATCCCGACACAAGCTACATCCACATTCTATTCCTGCTTCGACATCCCGACACAAGCTACATCCCACATTCTGCAAGACCCAGCCCCTCTCAACTCTGCCCCTCTCTGAGTCACTGCCACCGCAGGTCAACAGTTCTCTGGTCCCTGCAGTTACAGGAGCCGAAGGGCCTCCTTTCTAGGTCTTATCACCCCCACCAGTCTCCTTTCATCTCGCCCATGAGCGTCCTTACTCAACAGTCCTTGTTTTCATATCTTTGCCTATGACCCTGCATCTGCTTAATGCTAATCCCTGCTTTTGAATAAGTCATAAAACCTGAAATTTCTTTGCTTCCTTTTTTTTGTTTTGTTTTGTTCTACATGAGACATGGTCTTGCTTGGCAGCCTGAGCTGGCCTGGAATCCTCCTGACCATCCTCCTGCCTCACCCTGCAGAGTGTGAGTATGACAGGTGTGTGCCACCCACACCCAGCTCTCTACTCTCTTGCCTTTACAATGGGTTCATCATTTACCTTGCGAGCCTTCTCATGAGGGTAGATTCTGAGCCACAAGAGAGAGCAAGCATTTTCTAGAACGGGAAGTGCTCTTGAATGTGGTGGCATACATCTGTTTTGCTAGCACTTGAAAGACTGAGGCAGGAAGATGATGTTTGAAGCCAGCTTGAACTACAAAGCAAAATCCTGTCTCAAACAATAATAGCAGAGGCTCAGCAGTAAAGGCATTTTCCACCAAGCCTGACAACCTGAGTTCAAGTCTCCATGGTATATGTTATGGAAAGAGAGAACAAACTCTTACAAGTTGTCCTCTGGCTTCAACACAGGTGTCCTGGTGCACACCCATCACACACACACACACACACACACACACACACACACACACCACATGCACGCACATGTGGATTTAAAAGAGGAGCTAGAGAGATGGCTCACTGGTTAAGAGCAAGAAGACCCAAGTTCTAGCACCCGCATGGTAGCTCACTTTGGCTTTTAACCCAAGTTCTAAGGGATCCAACAGGCAGGTACATGATACACGTACATGCAAGCAGGCAAAATATCCATGCACCTAAAATAAATCTAATTTTAAAAAGATAGCCAGACATGGTGGTTCATGCCTTTAGTTCTAGTTCTTAGAAGCCAGAGGCAGTCAGTCTGTGAGCTTGAGGTCAGTCAGGACTACAAAGTGAGACTTTGTCTCAAAAAAAAAAAAAAAAGTTAAAAAAGATAATGGACAATAATGATGATGATGTTAAGCTGACTTTTGGAAAGCCCCTAGGAAACTCGCTGTGTGTTAAGGATTGTATCAGTTTCCAGAGGAACCAGCCACCTGCTTCAAGGCTGAAATTCTTCCCTGCAGCACAAGGGAGGCAAAAGGCTGAGTGGCCAATAATAACCGGTGTAAGCAAACAGGAGTGGCCAATCTGTGGGGGAGAAGATTCCAGGCTGTTGCTTCGGATACCATCTGACACCCAACTGGAAAGCTGTCCTGCTCCCCAAGTGTTGTGATGATATCTATGGGCTCACAAAGTATGTCATTCTCCAAAGGATATGGACAGGGCTTTCATTCTGGAAATAGGGGAAAGCTGGTTCAAATGAGATGAGTTGAGACTTTCTCAGGGTAGGCAACATGGGGGTAAAGATTCCACGTAAAAAAGGAACTGGTTTTTAAAAAAAGATTTATTTTACATTTATGTTTCTCTGTGTATATGCATGTGAGTGCAGTGACCACAAGTACCATTAGAGGGCGCTGGATCCCTTCGAGCTGGAGTTGCAGGCAATTGTGGTGCTGGGAACAGAACTCTGCCTTCTGCAAGAGCCCTGGGGCATCTTGCCAGCCCCAGGGGCTGGTTTTATGGAGTATGGGGAGTATATCTCTGAGAAAATCCTAGAATTCAGCTGTTCTAGACCAAGAATTGACAGTGTGACTATGAAACAATGATGCAGGGCAGGGCAGGGACATAGGACATTGTAGTGTGTATATTTTGTATATTTTGGCTTTTATTTCTTTTTGTGAGATAAGTTTTTACCACATAGCTCAGAATGGCCTTGGAGTCACTTATGTGGCCCTTGAACTTGAAGCAATCCTCCTGACTCAGCCTGCTGAGTGCTTGGATTACAAACATGTACCACCATGCCCGGTTTGCATTTTGTCTTATCTTGTCTGTGATTCCTGCTTCATGGGACCTAAAACCCTAAAGTGATTATCCCATCATCCTTGGTTCCTGAAGATGTCCTCTAATAGTTGCAACACAGAGAAAAAAAAATACACTTACAGGTCCTTTCAAGCGCACTATCTAAGACAGGGTCTATGTAGCCTAGGCTGACCTCAAACTCGCCATGCCGCAGGACTAAGCTGTCCTGTAGGCACGTCTGCAGGCAAGTGTCTGGATAACGTTAGTCGATATGGGAAGACTCAGCTGGTTTTGGCAGACCTCTTCTGCCAATGGTCTGGGTTTTGGACTGTGTAAAAGAGGAAACCGTGAGCTAAGAGCAGACATGCTCGCTTTGTCTTATGGCTATGGACTGTGCACATGGCCAATTGCCTCAAGCTCCTGCCCTGACAGCCCCAGAATGATGGCCTGTAAACCTGGAGTCGTGAGCTGAATAAACTCTTCCTCTGAATGGCTCTTGTGTTGTTTCTCTTTCTATGTGTCCCTGGCTGTTCTGGAACTCACTCTATAGACCAGGCTGGCCCTTCCCTCCCAAGTGCTGGGATTAGAGGCCTGCATCACCACATCTTACTTTAAAGTTGTTTTGTTGGGATACTTTGTCACGTGGAACAAGGACATGAAAATATATTTTGGGATAAAGAGAACCAGGAACGGGGATGAGAGACAAAAATGTGACCAAAGAACAATTGAGGAACATAAAATGTCAAAATGTCATAACGAATTTGTTCTTTTGTACAATAAATATAAGCTGATAATAAAATATCCCTTGTAATAATTCAGTAAATGTAGTGTTTCCCTGAATCTCATGAACTGTTCTAACAAGTCAGGAGTGGGTGGTAAACTTGAGAAACTAACACAGAACTCCTGTATGACCCAGTGTACCACTGCTGGGCATTTGCTAAAGTACTCAAGTTAGCAGACCACAGAGGTCCATGCATATAAACAGGGTCCTGGTTAATTTTCATGCCAACTTGCAACAACTTGGAATCATCTGAAAAGAAAGCCTTAGGCAAGGCATCATCTCTACCAGGTTGACTTCTGGGACTGTCTCTGTGACGTGGGATGTCCTTCTGTATATGTGTTGCTTTTATTGGTTGATGAATAAAACTGTTTTAGCCGAAGGCTTAACAGAGTAAAGCCAAGTAGGAAATCCAAACAGGTATAGAGAGAAAGGCGGAGTCAAGAAAATGCCATGTAGCTGCCAAAAGAGATAGACACCAGGCCAGAGCCTTATTGGTAGGCCACAGTCTTGTGGTGATACATAGATGAATAGAAGTGGGTTAATTTAAGACATAAGAGTTAGCCAGGAATGTGCTTGGATTATTGGCCAAACAGTGTTGTAATTAATATAGTTCCTGTGTGATTATTTGGGTCTGGGCAGGCGGGAAACCAAGGCACAGTCTCCTTTTACATCTCTGGGGGATTGTCCTGATGGGTAGCTGATGTATGAGGGTCCATCCCACTGTGGACAGCACCAGTCCCTAAGCAGAGAAAGCTAGATGCTTTTGACTGTGGATGTGATGTCATTAGCAACTGTAACCTGAAGTTATACGACAGATAAACGCTGTCTTTTCTATGCTGCTTTTGGTCAAAGTATTTGTCACAGTAACAGGAACAAAGCTAGAACACCCAGTCTGTAGTCACAAGGTCAAAACAACCTGGAGCTGGCAACTGGTGTGAGCTGATGAGAGATGCCCTGTGGCTCCCATGCTGTTTCCAGACAAACGTGTATTGTCAACTTGACAGCATCTTCTGCCTTGGAGAAAACCCTTCAGGCATATCTGTGAGGTTATCTGAAGTGAGAGAACCCACCCTAAACACCGGCAGCACCGCTCCAGAGGCTGGGGTTCCGTCCTGAGCACAAAGTGAAAATGAGCTGAGAAAGTAGTCACCCCTTTGTGACTGCAAACACAGTGTGACCAGGTATCTCAGCAGCCTGCTGCCGTGACAGTTATACCACTGAACTAGTGGCCTTTGTCACAGCAATGCCAAAGATAACTAATATGACATTAATGCACTAGACCATGGCACCCACTGCAGAACTGGCTGGGGAGAGGTAGCAGAAGTCTTCTGTATTGATTATCATGGAGTAAGCATGGCACTACATGTATGGCCATGCATCCCAACTGGGACAACAGGCAGTAAAGAAACCACAGACACATTGTAGTGTTTGAGTGAGAATGGTTCCCATAGACTCACACATTTGAGTGTTTGGTTCCCAGTTAGGGGAACTGTTTAGGAAGGATTAGGAGTTATGGGCTTGTTGGATGTGTCACTGGGGGTGGGCTCTACCTGCAGATCTTGAAGTGAGCTCTCTGTTACTGCCCAGCATCATGCTTGCCTTCCGGTTACCAGGCTTCCCACCGTGATGGTCATGGACCCGCCCTTTGAAACTGTAAGTAAGCCCCCAGCTAACTGCTTTCTTATAAAAATTTCCTCGGTCACAGCAATAGAACAGTAATTAAGACACACACATACAGAAAAGCTGGGATTGGCGGGCCATGGTGCACTCTCATGGAGACTCAGTAACAACAGTAAGCCAGATAACTCAGTGAGTTTGTTTTATAAGTCTGAATTGAGGAAGTGGGTTTAACATATACCAATGAACCAGAAGGTGAGTTTAGCTAAACTCAGTGGGGAGGTCTTGGTATGGGAGCTCTCTCAGGCTATAAAAGCCCAGGGAGAAAGATACCATTGCCATTCTCTGTGCACACTGTCAGCATCCACACAAGGACCGAGGGGAAGCATTGACATCTCTCTGAGCCTGATCTGGGGAAGGGACCACGGCATTAGGGCCCTCGACATGGCTGTGCTCATGTCGCCAGCACACATTCACTCAGAACTCTATCTACTCCCCACACACAAGTGTAAGAGGGAGGGCGTCTGCTTTCACCTGTACTCAGCAGAAGGTTGGAGTTTTCTTTTTTATTTATTTATTAAAGATTTCTGTCTCTTCCCCACCGCCGCCTCCCATTTCCCTCCCCCTCTCCCAATCAAGTCCCCCTCCCTTGTCAGCCCAAAGAGCAATCAGGATTCTCTGCCCTGTGGGAAGTCCAAGGCCCACCCTCCTCCATCCAGGTCTAGTAAGGTGAGCATCCAAACTGCCTAGGCTCCCACAAAGCCAATACGTGCAGTAGGATCAAAAACCCATTGCCATTGTTCTTGAGTTCTCAGTAGTCCTCATTGTCCGCTATGTTCAGTGAGACCGGTTTTAATCCAGGCTTTTTCAGAC